TTGGCCAGGACTTTCCTCAGCAGTTGTTTGTTTGCTGGAGTCATCTGATCATCATAGTGGGCCAGTTCATGTAAAAGTGATTTGATAATGCCTTTGTCTTTCCTCTTCTCTACCTGTGGCAGACTTTATTTGTGCTTTTTAGACACTGAATGACTGAAATGCTCTTATTTCACTTAGGGCAGGTGACAGCAGGACTGTGGTACTCCAGTACTGTCAAATAGCTCCTTGAAGGAGAATCACAGAATCACAGAACAGTTGAGGTTGGAAGGGACCATGCGGCACTCATCTAATGCAACCTCCCTGCTCAAGCAGGGTCGCCTACAGCATGTTGCTCAGAACTGTGTCCAGGTAGATCTTGAATATATCCAGGGAAGGAGAATCCACAACCGCTATGGGCAACCTATCCCAATAGGTCACCCTCACAGTAAAGAAGTTCTTCCTCATGTTCAGGTGGAACTTCCTGTGTTTTAGTTTATGCCCGTTGCCACTCGGCCTGTCTCTGGGCATCACTAAGAAGAGTACGGCCCCAGTCTCTTGACACCCTCCCTTATTATACACATTGATAGATCCCCACTCGAGTCTTCTTTTGGCTGAATAGGCTCAGCTCCTTCAGCCTTTCCTCATATGAGAGATACTCCCAACTCTCAATCATTTGGGGGTTGGAACTAGATGATCTTAAGATCCTTTCCAGCACTGACTATTCTATGATTCTGTGATTCTATGATGATTCCAGTAGCCCTTTACTGGACATGCTCCAGGAGCTCCATGTCTCTCTTGTACTGGGGAGCCCAGAACTGGACACACTGCTCCAGGTGAGGCCTCAACAGGGTTGAGAAGAGGGGGAAGGTCACCTCGTTCAACCTGCTCTTCCTAATGCAGCCAGGACACCATTGGCCTTCTTGGCCACAAGGGCACATTGCTGGCTCATGGACAGATTGTTGTCCACCAGGACTCCCATGTCCCTCTCTGGAAAGCAGATGCTTTCCAGCAGGTCATCCCCAGCCTGTGCTGGTACATGGGGTTATTCCTCCCCAGGTTCAGGACCCTGCACTTGCTTTTGAATTTCAAAATACCCTATCTGGGAAGCAATTTCTTGTCTGTCAATGTGCTTGTGTTCCATATGGCAGCCCACAGTTGATCTCTGGCAAGCCGACGGCCAGCCAGAGGGATTTGTGTTTGCAGTATCAGGTCTTACCTTACACAAAAGGCAGGCAGATGCTGCCTGTGGCAAAGCACTAAAGTCAGCCTCATGACCAGGATGATTTTGACCATATTTTGTCAGCATGAGTGACTAACAGCCTCTGTGCCATGAAAACTGATCAAGCAGTATTTTTTTTTTGTAAGAGTGGCATCAGAAACATGGGGATTTTCCAATTCAGATTGGATAAATGGTGTAACTTCCAGTTGCCGTAGACAGAGATGCTAGTATTCCCTTGCTAAGAATGAATGGATTATTGCCCTGCTAACCTGCTGTACATAGCAGTGAACAGCATGTTTTAATCTTTATTTTTATACGATCAAACAGGGGGTTGAGTAGTCTCAACTTCTCTATAAACAGGATTTAAGAAATAAACATTAAAAAGCAGTAGGCGCCTCTAACAGCAATGATTTTCACAAACTTTACACTGCAAAAATAGTCAGGTTAAGATCACATTTAAAAAATAGCAGCAGATCCTTGACTTCATAGCAGGTCTCATCATGATCCGGCACAGCAAAGGACTTGCTGCTCTGTGTTTACTTGTCTCCTCTCTGCTGTTTACATGCACATTCCTTTCTCATGTGTTTTGTCCCTCTTCCTGTATCATAACTGAACTTTTGCTGTAAGTAGTTTCACACAGCCAAAATACTGGTTGATTATCACGTGTTTCAGGAAAGAATTAACTTCTTGCCACTACACACACAATTGCCTGGTTCTCTTGTCAAATGCCTAAATCTGCACAGCATGGATACTGCTAATGACAGGAGGTTGTGCCATGTTCATGGGTCTCTGGGGTCACAGAAAAGGCCAGTTCTGAGCAGATGCCTGATTTGACTGCAGTATCATGAGGGCTAATTAATAAGCATTTAAGGGATTCAGAGATCAGGAGAAAAAGCTCACAGACACTATTAAGATGTTAGCATGTTGAAGGAAAATTGAAAGTATAAAGTGACAATTTCTGTTTTCTGAAATCCAGGCTAATGTCACTGGGAGTGTTGATAGTCATCTGAGGGCAGATCCTGATGCCCTTGTGGGAGTGTGTTCAAGCTGTCTACAATACGTACCCAACTCAGGTACCATTGACTGCTTTGAATATAGCAAATTAGCCTCGTTCTTACTTTTTGGGCCTGATAACTCCACCTGTCTGCATAATGAATGAAGAGAAGGAGTTGTGACACCTAACTGAATACTGATAGTAGAAAACTTGAATAGATATCTATGAGGGAGAGGGTATTTGAAGTGGGCAAACCCTGGGGAAAAGCTCTTTGCTTGGGGAACGTTGAAAGGGATTGGCTTTGGAAAAAAAAACCATGAGCTCATGATAGTGCTTACATTGTTGGTCACCTCCAGACAAGTTTTCTGCAACACGTTGTGTTAGCATAAACATAAGGACTCAGGAGTTGTGTCTGCATGGGGTGATCAGGATGGACTCCAGCCACCGAGTCTCCATCCATGTATTTTCCACTGGTGTGATGGGCTGTCACTTGGTTCTAGCTTCAGTGCAAAACATCTACACTGCACTTAGCAAGAGCAGAGCTGGGAACTCAGTTGCTGCTGCCCCTGCATAGCTCAAGCAGGGTGTAATGGGTGCCTGAATGCACACTCTGACAGTGGGCAAGCTGGGACTCTCCCTTCAGAGAGGGTCTGGACCAGCTCTGATCCTGCATTGTGTAAGTAACCTGGATGGTGGCTCTAGACTTCAGGATGGTTTAGATGCACACTGACTGCAGCACAGGTATGTGTCACCTGCATTTATCTTCCACATGCATCTTCAGGCTGCAGGTTTCAGGTACTGGAGAGCCCCTTTTCTTGCAGTTCAGTCCTGTCACAGTAAAGGATATATGAGCCACTTGTGCTAACTTCTCCCAGGTTTGAATGGCAAAACCTTTGTTTTCATAGGAGGTACTATCTTGAGAAATAGCTTCCCCCACCTCAAGTGCGGTCAGTTTGACTTAGAGGTGGCCTGGGAAGCATGACTGTTTTTCCCAAATATTTGGGGAAGTGAACTTATGAGGAAGAACATGGAGAGCTGTGCTGGACATACTAATAAAAACATCTTGTTGTCAGATAGTTTTAGTGCAGCATTTTAAAAAGCTGTGATTTTGAAACGACCCTTTTTCTGTGCTCAGTATGAGACATGTTGGACATATTTGCAATCCCGAACTTGTCATTTCTCACTTTGAATTAAAACTCCTCACTACACCTACCCCTTCATCTGAAGAAGCTGCTGGTGACCATCACTGTCAGCAGAAGCTATTATCCCAGGGAGATGTTCCTGGAATAGGTATACCAGCACATTCTGTGTGCAATGGCCAGTCTAGAAAATCAGTGTCCTCCATATATGCCATTGAACCTTCTGTATATTGTTAGCTGTTTTATTCCGGACCACAGTGAATAATGGCATTCCTTTAATGCCAGATAGTAGAACTGATTCCATCTGGAAGACTTAGAATGTCTCCTGTGCAAGGATGTTCAAAGGTGTATGCCACTCGACAGTCTTCAGTTGCAGCTTACGGACATGAAACTGGCATTTTCATATACTCTCAGGTGGATTCCTTTTATATTTTATTTTTCCTTCTTCAGAATAATGTGTTCTAGGTCCTGTTCAGTAGGAGATTAGTTACTTTTTGCTGAGTCTACTGGTGGATTTTTGTGTTCCACAGAACTTGACAGTTTTACAAACCAGAATTAACACCGTATTTCCCAAAGAAGGATACCCAACCTGTGTAAAGTAATGAGAATGCTGCTTTATTTCTGGAATAGGTACCAGATAACTAGCTGGTCGTAGACAAAGTATTTGCTAAGCCCTAGGACAATCATGCCCATTTATCATGTTTATGGGATGAAGTTTAGGGAGATGTAACTGCTGCACTGTTTGAACAGGAAGAGATACACCTTTGAAAACACCAGCACAACCTGACAAAGTGCTTGTCCCCATCCTGAGCTGACAGATGCCCACAGAAGTGTATGCTAACAGGCTCAGTGACAAGTCATCCTTTTCCCTTCAATCTGATTGAATTCCCAGATCTGAAAATTGAGCATTTCTAATGCTTTTGGTCTAACTGTCTCTTCTAAACTGTAAGCCATTTATCTGAGTTCTAATCTCTCCTGCTCAGCTGTCATAGTCAAAAGGCAAATCTCCTTACCAGGCAGACAGATGCTCTGAAGGTGTAGGGGATTTCAATTTTAATGGAGACATTTTCATGTCCCTGGAACAGAAGTGTCCCAAGGACCCATGTCACAGGTTGCCTGCAAGGGTTTTCTATACCTCACATAGAGACAGAAAGCTAATTTGAGGTTGTCTGGCTGAAGGGTAGCCATATGACACTGCACTTGGAGTAATTAGCCACATGGGAGGGGGTTAGTTTGTGCAGGGTCAGTGATGTGCTCAGGTGTTTTGGGGAACTTTCTGAGGCACCTCTGGAGTTGTTTGGAGACGTCTTAGGGATCTCTGGAATGGTGGTGTGCCACAGCTCAGAGTGCTGCAGAGCTCAGACACCTCACAAGGCCCATCGTTGATGTCAATGATCCTCCTACTGCTGGAAGAGATGGACATGGGTGAGTACAGAGTCCACAGGTGTGAGGTTTTGCCCCCCCCCCTCTGGAGCATCCCTGCAGGAAAATGAATGCTCTGTGCCCTTCTGAAATTGGTTGTGGAGGTAAGGATGTTCATACATGCTATGCAGCAGCATGCCTCTGGAGTGGAAACCAGCTGCTCTTTAGGAAGGAGTTCAGAAGACCCTGCTGAGGATGTGAGACTCTGCCCTGCTAATGCTGACTGGGACTGTGTTCTTGTTTTAAGGTCAAGTGGCAGAAGAATGACATGGACAACAATCTGAACTTCTTCTCTGTCTCTTCGGATGGACGGATTGTTTCATGGACTTTAATTCAGGTAAACAGTGGAAATTTCTTTTCCTATCCAATTATAACCAATTGCCTTCAAAGTTCAATGATGCATTAAGTTTATTGTTATATATAAAGAACCGGGTTTGAAAAGAAGTGTCAGCAGAAGATTGTGGGTGCAGTTACAGCTGGCCTGGGGCACTGTGTTAAACTCCAAAATGAGCAGAACCAGCCTACTTCTCATTCAGGACCTAATCTTCATCATGCCTGCACTGGTAGTACCCAGTGATGAGATGGGTGAGCATTTTCCTGCTTTGCAGCTGCAGGAATTTAAGACTGGTCCTTGCTCTGAAACTTAGCTTGTCCCAGAAGGGTCACTGACAGACAGACCAGAACAATCTGCTTTCTTTCACCGCTTCAAGACTCTCAGCCCCAGAATGTTCCCCTACAGATTGTGCTTAAGAATGTGAGAGGGACGGTGCAAATTTCTCCCCTTGTGGCCAAAATAGCACAAAGCTCACATTTGCAGTGAGACAGCAACATGCAATCAGACAGGCAGAGGGTTTCCCACTGCCATGACATTGCCAGCTTTTGTTAACTTGTTTGCATGCCCTGTCTTTGATCACTCTTTCCTTGAGTATGTATGTTGATAGACACTTAGCATTCATGTCCCTAAATGACCCTTAAATTCATGTCTCTGAATCTCAACATTCATTTTTCTGTTGGCTTTTGAAGATTTCAAAATCTTTTCCTTAGAAGATGATCAAGTTGTTCTAACTGTGAGTTTGAAGCAGCTGTTTCATTATTCTCCATCAAAGAAATTCCTTTATGTCCTTGGATGCTCATTTTTTTAACCTGTTATACCAAGTTCTGCAAAGCTTTTCTGTTTCTGAACATTTCAGGCCTTGCTGCCATGGGTAGGGATTCATATCTAACACTATATAAAATTATGCAATCATAGAATGGTTTGGGTGGAAATGACCTTAAGGTCATCCAGTTCCAACCCCCTGCCATGGGTAGGGACACCACATAAGTCTTAATCTCACGTTCACTTCAGGAATGAGAGCGTCTTGTAATGAACTCTCATGCAGATGGCCTTGATCATTAAGTTCTTTTTTTATAAACTCTTCCAGATTCATACATGCAGCTATAGATACAAAAATCCCTCCTGCAAGTGTGCCCCAAGTCCTTCTCCCAGAAGAACTCTCAGAACTCCCTAGACAGGGACAGGCTAACACTGTCCCAGCTGTAAGCTCCAGTTTTATCCACTGAATAGAAATTCCCAACAGGTTTGTGTGGAAGTGGGTACACACCCCTTCAGCTAAAGACATCTAGCTGGGGTTACTTGGCAGGTTAAACTACTCAGCTGAGCCTCAGTATCTGAGTGTGCTCAGCCTTCTCCACTTAGGAGGCAAGAAACACTGGATTAAGTCTCTTAACTTCAAAGAAATGCCACAACTGGGACAACCTAAGAGCCTGCAGATGCACTTCGATGTCAACTCAACTGGTAAAAGGTCTTTTGCAACACTTCTGTGATTCATCTGTGCTTAACTGTGTTCCCACACTGTAAACCCTTGAGCATGTAGATACACGTAATTAAGCATCCTTGGTGTGACTTCTAAGTCCTGCATCCACATAATACAATGTCGTTTCTACTTATTCCTTGCACTTCTGTTATAAAATTGGCTACACCCATGTGAGAAGCCGGCTTTTAAGATTTTTCTGAGGTGAAGTTACCTTTGAAATTGCCAGAGCTGGAATGTACTTAGCAGGCAGGGCTGGAAAACAGCAACATTTTAGGTGCTGTTTGGTTTCTCTTTTTGGACAGAGATTCATCAGGGAAAGCAAGAAACAGAATGGAAAGGGCAGTTTGTTACAGGAGAAGAAGTGGACAATCTGATTGAATTCCAGTTTTACAAAAGAGCTATCTCTGGGTTTTACTTAGAAAAAATTAAAGAAACTCCAGAGGCTTTTTTTGTTCTTCAGATCTATAGTGCAAATCATGAATAAATGAAAGAGACCTTCATTAATCTTTTTGACTAATCAGGACTATCCAGAGCTAAAGCTTCTTCCAACACTGATAGCTGTTTGACACTTCCAAAGCTGAGAGCAGAAAGTTGATAAATTCTTTCTTACAGCTGAATATTTGGCAAGCCACACAAAAAATTTAGGTAGAAGACTTGTTGAATGTTAGCTGGGGACAGTTGATCTGGCTTGACCACAGTGGTCGTCTGTTAAAAGTGGGCACAATCACTTTGGACAAACTCCATGAGAGAGTACATGAGCTGCATGTGCTTAGGCTGTCTTGGGCTTGGTTTTGGGTCATCATGAAGGTGTAAAATGGCAAGGAAGAATGCAGAACTTCTGCAGCTGGATGATGCTACTCTCCCTCCTTGCAAGCACACCTTGCCTATCAAAAAGGAGGGCTGTAGAGCCACATCAAAGAGTGAGATGCAGCCTGGCACTGCTGCCCAGGCTGATGCTCAGCAATCCCAGATTTGATTAGTAGCTGTAGTTCACCCTTCCTACGTGACCTAGAGCTAAATTACTGAACAGGTCTGTGCCTCATTCATCACTTGAGGCTAATAACAGCTAAAGAGAAACAGGCAGCTGCAAGGCCTAATTCACTAATGCTTACAAAGTGCTTTACAATTGTTAGGCAGAAGCAATGTATTACTGCTCAGTATTCCTGGAAGGCCAAACTGTCGACAGTCTGTTTACCCAGAGGAATATACAAATGGCTTTGGCAACAAACAGCCCCAGGAACAGATGCATTTTCCAGACTGTGGAGCTGGAAAAGCTGGGTACACACTAAAAGCAGCACAACAGGAAAGTCTGCATGAGAAAGATCGTTTGTGAAGGCGAGAGGCTACAGAAGCTGTTCACAGAGGCCTTGACCAGATGAAGGTGCTGGGTGGCATCTTCAGAGAAAGGCTGCAGAAAGGTGTGTACTTACAGAGAAGATCTCATGTGGTTTGCCTTCCTAGCAGCACAGAGAGTAAGTGTGATAATATGTCTTTAGGTCTGCTCAGATCATGTGTCTGACCTTGGTTAGACACACTGGGTATATCAACATCACCAGAGGCAGGCAGCTCCAAAGCTGCTCTTCAGACCAGACTCCTATGGCAACCACCCATGGCTTGGACAGGGCAGACACTCTATGGTGAACAGGCAGACCTGGGAGCCTGAGCAGAGGCAAGTAGCTGCTCAGCATATCCTGACTGTGCTCCCAGCACCCCACTAAGACTCCTATGTGGGTACACAGTGAACAGCACATGGAATACACTCTGCTGCTGGGTGCTCTGGGCATCTCTCTTCCCAGTTCTTGCACACGTACACCAGCATATATGTCTCTTTCTTAACATCACTCCTGCCTTGACCCACTGACTCCAACTTGGTGTAACTCACATGCTACAACAAGAGTCAATAACAGAAGGTAGGACTGTGCAGGCTGCAGGAGTCTGTCCTGCTGCTTGCTGCTCTCTCAGAGAACAGTTCCAGCCATCAATAGGTCAGGGCATGCTGGTGTGCAACAGTGCAAATGAGTAAGAAGAAAGTGCATTATTTTATGGGTTTTGGCCTTTCTTGATCCTTCTGTAAATTTGTACTTCTAAAATATGATAAAAATGTCTTGTAGATCACTGTCCCCTCTGAACTGCAGTACTGAACTCACAAGATCTTCTCCCATCTTCCCTAACATGCAATTCCCTGGGATCGACTTTGCCAGGCAGAATCTTTTTCTACCTGAGTCCTGCTCTGGGCTTAGAGGAGGTCCAGCTAAAGCTTGATTCACTGAGCTAAGAAGTTATGTTTTGTTCTCACAGTGCTCCAGTGGGAAATCTGCAGATTCATTAAAACATCCAGTCCTCAGCCCACACTGCTCACTAATTTAATCTTTAGTTCTTTGTTCTTTTTGTCAGCCCCAGGGTATTCTTATATTCACAACCAACTCCATTCTGCAGTGGTATTTTAATTCCCAGCACTAGTCTAAGAATGGATCTTTGCCCTCTCATTGTTTCCTCATATTCATCCACATTGTGTCTATTTTCATCTGTCTTATGTCTTCCACCTTGACTGTAAACTGTTTGGGGCACAGCCTTTTTGCCCTGTGTGCATACATCACCTGGCACAGCAGTGCTGTGGCCTGCAATGAGAGCTATTTAGAGCTCTGCTGATAACAGCAACACTTGGCATTTTTCCTCTGGGGAAGCTGCTTGCTAGATGTTCTTGTTATTTGAATCTCAGAACCCATGAGGTTGTGATTATTGGGAACTGAGGCTGCTCTGGGATTAATAGGAAGATGGTAAGAAGCAAAGACTGGCAAGGTGGTGAGTTACTATCCACTAGTGTGGGTTTTAATCAGCTCTATAATGGTATGCAATACCCATCTTAAACCATGCAGGGTGATTTTGCATAACACAATGATTTAAGGTGGCAGTGTCGACCTCCACTCAAAAGCATTGACCCCAAAGCCCAAAGCTTCCCACATCATCTGCGTGTGTCTGGGTGGTATACCAGTGGCTCTCAGCTCCAGTGCATCAAAGCATCAGTTTCCTGGAGGTTTTATGTAAAAGTGACACGTTATCAAGTTGCCAACTGTGAGCATGAAACATTAAGCAACATTTAGACAGCTTTTTAAAATTCCTCCATAAAATTTGCCATTTCAAATTACTGAATGTCTCTCTATTGTTGCTGTAAACCATGTTATTCATGTGGAATCTCCTCTGCCTGCAGAATGAGCTGGTTCATACAGATGTCATCAAGCTGTCAGTAGAGGGAACAATGGCGCAGGGGCCAGAGGGGCTGCAGCTGAAAACACTTGGTAGGAGCCCAAGTCCTTTCCATGCTGATTAATTACTGACACAAAGCCTCTAATCAGTTATTCTGGGAATTAAATTAGGAGTAGGGTGTTGAGATGGAAGGGAGCTAAAGAAGGGTTACACCTCCTTGCTTTCATCATGTAGTAAGGCAAAATCTGTCCGGAGCAATAGCTGAGTCAAATTTTGCTGGTTACACCTTGCCTGTACTTGGGAAGAAAGATGAACATCAATTCAAAGCATGATGATTTTACTGGGATATCCCAGTGTGGACGAGGCACAGGCATTACCTGTATTTGTCAAAACTAAGTCAGTTTTGTTCTTCCTGCCAGACAATGGTCTGGACTAGCCAAATCAAGACAAAAAGGAAACTTTCCCTTTTCCTGGGTGCACAGCTCATCCAGTCAGCAGTGATGAACCTCAGCAGGTTTTGGCTCTCGAAAAGCACAACATCTCTTCTGAGCTACTATGTTAGGCTCCCTCTGTACAAAGTAGAGACAGTGCAGTCCTTCTATACTGAATCACCTCAGCCTGACCATCCTGTGTTTGGGATAAGATGGGATGAGTCCGCTCTGGAGGTCCTGGACTACACAGGGAGCCTTGAAGAATCTCCTAATCATCTTATTGCACCTGCTTTTGGCTGTGAAGCTGTGGCCTGGGTTTGGAGAAAGCATTTCATGTTCAGGAATTGCTGTGTTTCTACAGAATAACTGCTGAACAATTTGTAAGAAGGTTGCATAGGTTGCAAGAGACCAGCGAAAGCAGTACACTGCAGAACTCCCAGGGGCTTTGGGATTATTTGTTAGCGTTTCTGTGAAATGGATTTTCAAAGACTTGTCTTGAATATTTAACGATCTATTTAAATGTTAAAAATGCAGACAGTATTACAGAGTTGAATAACCTTAACAGTTCCTGTGAGGACTATATTTTGTTAACGTTTAAGACATAATCTTTAAGACAGCTGCCTTTGCAGAAAGCTCTCTGTAACTATGTGCTTCTCAGCCTTGTCTGCTTGTTTGCTCTGGGTGTCCTAGCTGGTCAACAGCCCCAGGTTGCTCTGGCTCTCAGCAGACATCCCATCTTCTGCTCAAGGACCCTGCTGAAATTTTCTTCCACCACCATCCGAATTGGCTTTCCTGGATGATGTTGCATCTGCCTCAGGAACAGAAGTCACAAAATCTCAAGGAGTCACAGCCTGTTGTGGTTGACACCTCTTCTAAATACAGTTTGCAATGTTGCTTCTTTCCGGGCTTTTGAAGTTAAGAGGATGCTTCTGTGCCTGGCAGAAGATTTCTTCCCAAATCACATCCTTTGCTTTACTGAACTGAGCCTGCTAAGCTGCTGAGCTAAGGATGAAAAGGGAGGTGTGATGTGGTGTTTCCTCTATGGGCTCCTTTACGCATAAGAAACCATTCATATTTTCTGTGAATACTAAACAGACAGAAAGATCTGTTCTTCCCCAACAGGAGGCAGGCCTGGTCCTCATGACTTACCAAAGTGAATCCCTAACCAATCTGTTCTTCCAGTTCCCTTCCAGTGTTTCCAGTTCTCTTTTCCATTTTTCCATGTTGGTTCTTCAAATTGCGAGTCTTGGGGACAGGCACAGCTTGATGTGGGTCCGTAAGTGTTTGCGGGAGGGGTAGAGGTGGGTCTAATTTCTCTTGGGAGCTTCTGGCTGATAAATCACTCCTGAAAACCCCAGCAGTGTGTGTGTACCATAGGCAGGAGTGTGTGCTGGCCAGATGAAGCAATTCTCTGTCTGACAGACCTTTCTTCTGTTACCAGGCTGTGGGACATCATTTGATTTTCACAAAACGATAGACTACTTGTTTCTCGTTGGTACTGAAGAGGGGAAGATCTATAAGGTAAGGATGGTTTCTTTGTCCCTTGTTTTACACCCCCTGACCTGTGCTTGTCTTTTAGATTCATCATCTTAACTGTTTGCTCAGGCAGTAATAATGTAAAAACTTCAGAGCCTGGTCATGCTCTCAGATCGCTGTGGTGAGCCGGAGACCAGCACAGAGGCACAAAGGGTCAAGGGGAGCTCTCTGCACAGACTCAATTAAGACCTTATTTTGCTGAATGTTTTTCATGCAAACTGCATCCCAGAATGCTTTGCAGATTGTGGCTGTGCAAGCAGGGGCCAGCTGCAATCAGAGTGGAAGTTAAAAGGTCATTATCCTCTGTCATCATGGCTATGGGGAAATGGTAGGAAAAATCTCAGCTCTTTTCTTCTTCAGACCTGTTACCCCATGAGCAGTGAGGCTAATGAAGCCTTGTTTCCTATGGACCGGTGTCCTACAGCCCTTCCCTTCCACAATTACATCTAGGTCCTTACCCCAGTCCCACTTTTTCCTTGCCCTGCTATCTCCAGTTCCTCACTATCTACTCTGATCATTCCTCTCTCTGATCACTCCCATCCTATCCCCAGCTCAGTGATCCCGCCTCCATGCTATAGCCCTTGATTCCTGCAGGCAGGGCTGGCTATCTCCTCTCCAGTGCCCTCCTGCAGCCTGTTCCCTTGGTGCTCAACATCAGAGGGGAGCTGCGGCCAGCCAGCTTCAGCCATGAAGTAGCCAAGCTTTGTTTGCTCTTCCCAGGATGTAGGCACTGCCAAATGTTTGTGCTCTACGGCCATCCCTTTTTACAGAATATGCAAGGCCTTAATATTGCCAAGTCCCAGCTTTGCTTGAAGTTGCCTATGAAATCAGAAGTTGTCTGGGAGGAGAGGCAAGCAGGCAGCAGGACACAGACATTGTGTTTTCTTAAGAAATCAAGACAAAAATAGAAAGTTTTGAGCTCTGCCGTATATATCCTTGAAAATAAAGCCAGTAGCTGCTTACTCATGTAACTTCTGTTTGCACAGCATTCCTCTGAGCTAGGTTTGGGTCTTTGTTAATATTGTAGCCACATCCCTTCGATGTGGTGGGTGGGCCATCAGCAGGAGGCTGAGATGCTGAGCAGATCCATCCAGACATCCCTAGAGGATGCAGTAAGCTCCTTCACCATGTCCTGCCTTAAAAACAGAAACAAAACAGGGAAAAACAACCCAAAGGAAATGGTTTTCTGAAATAAGTATCAATCATTTAGACAGGAAGGACTTAGCAAATATATAGCCCTTCCACAGGGATAATGCTGATTGAAATCTCTCCCTCTGCCAGGAAGTATCTAGGGAAGATTTCTGAGTAATGCTCACTTGCATTGCACCAGGCAGATGCAAAAAGAAGGGAGGTGGGAGGCTGGGCTGATGAGTGATGGGCAATGAGGTAGGTGTAATGGCTTTTTGTTAATGCTTTCAGGATACAAAGCATATGTCCAGTCATGGGCAGATATTCTGAGTTGGCTGGTCACCCACAGGGGTTGATACACTAAGTGTTGTGCTCCAGATTTTTAGGTACTGTTGTGTCTAGTCCTGATCAAAAGGCAGCAGGGAATTACATGTTTTAACTTCCTCTGTGCTTAGGTGAGTGATGGATGTCAATGAGTATGATGACAGTGCACGTTTGTGACTGGTGGGGACCATCAGTTACCCTTCAGGAAGTATGTTCAGGCTGGTGTCATAGAATCATAGAATAGTTAGGGTTGGAAAGGACCTTAAGATCATCCAGTTCCAACCCCTCTGCCATGGGCACGGATACCTCACCCTAGACCATGTCATCCAAGGCTCTGGCCTTGAACACTGCCAGGGGTGGAGCATTCACAACCTCCCTGGGGAACCCATTCCAGTGCCTCACCACCCTTACAGTAAAGAACTTCCTCCTTTTATCTAATCTAAACTTCCCCTGTTCAAGTTTGAACCCGTTACTCCTTGTCCTATCACTACAGTCCCTAATGAAGAGTCCCTCCCCAGCATCCCTATAGGCCCCCTTCAGATACTGGAAGGCTGCTATGAGGTCTCCACGCAGCCTTCTCTTCTCCAGGCTGAACAGCCCCAACTTTTTCAGCCTGTCTTCATACGGGAGGTGCTCCAGTCCCCTGATCATCCTCGTGGCCTCCTCTGGACTTGTTCCAACAGTTCCATGTCCTTTTTATGTTGAGGACACCAGAACTGCACACAATACTCCAGGGGAGGTCTCACAAGAGCAGAGTACAGGGGCAGGATCACCTCCTTTGACCTGCTGGTCACGCTCCTTTTGATGCAGCCCAGGATACGGTTGGCTTTCTGGGCTGCAAGCACACACTGAAGCCGGCTCATGTTCATTTTCTCAATGATCAGCACCCCCAAGTCCCTCTCCACAGGGCTGCTCTGAATCTCTTCTCTGCCCAACCTGTAGCTGTGCCTGGGATTGCTCCGACCCAGGTGTAGGACCTTGCACTTGGCATGGTTAAACTTCGTAAGGTTGGCATCAGCCCACCTCACAAGCATGTCAAGGTCCCTCTGGATGGCATTCCTTCCCTCCAGGGTATCAACCGAACCACAGAGCTTGGTGTCATCGGCAAACTTGCTGAGGGCGCACTCAATCCCACTGTCCATGTCAGCGACAAAGATGTTAAACAAGACCGGTCCCAACACCGATCCCTGAGGGACACCACTCGTTACTGGTCTCCAGCTGGACATTGAGCCATTGACCACAACTCTTTGTGTGCAGCCATCCAGCCAGTTCTTTATCCACCGAGTGGTCCATCCATCAAATTGATGTCTCTCCAATTTAGAGACAAGGATGTTGTGTGGGACAGTGTCGAACACTTTGCACAACTCCAGGTAGATGACATCAGCTGCTCTACCCCTGTCCATCAGTTCTGTAGCCCCATCATAGAAGGCCACTAAATTGGTCAGGCAGGATTTCCCCTTAGTGAAGCCATGCTGGCTGTCACCAAGCACCTTGTTGTTTTTCATGTTCCTTAGCATGCCTTCCAAGAGAACCTGCTCCAAGATTTTGCCAGGTACAGAGGTGAGACTGACTGGTCTGTAATTCCCTGGGTAAATGGGGGATCAGTTCAAATGTCCTGGCTCAGTTACATAGCAAAGGAAGTCCTTCACGGAGGAGCACTGAATAGAGCAGAATTTGTCATCATCTGCATTGACAAAGCTGTAGGTGTTCCTGCCTTGGACAATCATCATTGAAACTAGAGCTAGGATGGGGTTTTAACATAAGGAGTGATCCCTGCCATGAAGCCAGATATTTTAACTACTTCTTGGGTGGACAACTGGGGAAATACTGCTCTACAGGTACTTCTATTTTATGGGTACTAAGTCTGATTTTGGGTTTATGGTAAGCAACAAAACATTCCTGCATTGTAATTTCATGTAAGGGAAGTCTTAGTGAAAGTTGGAACACTCTCATATTGTGAAACACTGCCCTATAAAACTTGGGTGTTCCCATGCGAAGGAAGGGCAGTCTTCCATCACATTGTCTGGGCTAACACATAGAAGAGAAATCATATGTCTAACACAAGCACAAAACCAGGGGGAAGACTGCTTGCACCCTAGCATCCCCTGAGTTTCAAAAGCTTTGGGATCAACTGCTCCAGGCACTTCTTAAGGACAACCATGCATCTTCATCACACCCTTTATTGAAGCACTGCATGTCTGAAACCACTACTGACGCTACCTGTGAACTGCTTCTCAGAGCCTTGCCCTGCTTGGATGCTGAAGACAGTGACAGTGCCACAGCCGTTTGAGCAGCTCTTGGGACCTGTGGCTACACTGAGCAGGAGTTGAACTGCTCAGGTGTCTGTGCTGCACTTCCCTTGCCACTAGATGTTAAATGAAAGGGACAGTCTCCCTACATGCAGTATGAGTCAGGGATCAAACATGGGCTCCTGTCCACATGGGCTGGATTTTAGACTATTTATTAAGTAAATTGGAAAGTGGATTTCAGGGAGGTGTTTTCTCAGAGACCAGGCATGCCCGCAAATAGAATGTTAATATGTTAATTCTTCAGCTGCAGAGCAGTTATGGTGAAATTTTTAAAATGGCTTAGTTAATAGCATTTCTGAAGCCAAGAAATCATTATCTTAATTACACACAGACCTATCACCCTTTTTCATAGAGGACAAACTGTTTCTGCATTAATACGATTCTGTAATGCAAAACTGCCTTTTTGCATATCTTACTTGCTGTTTAGGAATTGTTCAGGTTTGGTAATAAAAAGTATGGTCTCTGTGATTCATACTGAAACATTATTGAGGCTTCAGCTCTTTGGTCAGAATTACTTCTTAATAAACAGGCTTCCGCAGAAAAATTGTGATGAGATTAGAACATATTCATGTAAGAAAGGGTGTTTTTTTTTTCCAGTCTTAGGCAGGTTGTTTGAGAGTGTAACAAATGAATATAATAAAACTCAGTGCAAGACTGTGTAGAAGGAAAAGGTGAGTCTTTGAACTCAGTGTTGTGAGTCAAAAGGCTGTTTGTGGGGAAAGATCAGGGGGAAGGCCAAGCAAGCAGATATCCTGGTAGGAGTCTGATGAAGTGTTCTTCTCGCCACCTTGTCTTTGGGCTTCTATTTGTTCTGTCCTGTGATCTTGTCACTTGACTGACTGCATTTGCCATCAAATAATACAGGTTCTTTCTTTTACCATTTTCTGTTGTTTCTCCCAGTGCATTCACATGCCTCTGTTTCCATTCATAAGCCTTTGTACAAATCTTAGCAGGTCTCTACAAGAAGGCACTGAACAAAAACCAGGGAGTCTCAGTGTTTCTGTTTGTGAACTAAAGAAATGCTCTATATTATAAGGACACTAATAACTATCCATTCACCATGGATGCAGAGGAGTTTTGCATCAGGCTAACACCTAGCATAATCTGAAGTGCTGTTAATGAAGATTAGTTTTACATTTTCTGTCCTTGGAGTTCTCCTTTCCTCCCAGAATTCATCCCCCATGTTTTGTAGCCCCGTCACCAATCATCTTCCTACTGATTTCCTGTATTGGTGTAGACACATTCTTGCTTTCCCATCTCATCATAAAAATACCATTTACTATTCATACACATCTACCACCATTTAAATAGGAGAAAAACACTCTCAGCAAATTGGAGCAGTGCTCTAGAAGGTCAGACTGTTCATCCTCTTTGAAGCTAACTTGTCAGAAGTTAGGCATTTGCCCTACAGAACCCTTTTTACTGCTGAATTCGTAAGAAACCCATCGATCCCTTTCCTGTTGGGACCTGGACCTCAGCTCTGGGCCAGAATATCCCAGAGCATGAAAGGGCTCCTATACAAGTGCCCAGAGAGTTGCGCTGATCAGGGTCTCAGCCCCAACAAGGCTTTAAAAACAGAGTGCTGAGCATTACAGTTCTGGTGGATGCAGACAAATCTGGTTAGTATCCCACTCTTCGAAGTCCTCAGGTATTAGGGACCTTCAATACACATACTTGGAAGGACAGATGGCTAAAGCAGCTTCTCTCTTGTGTTAATTACTCGTGACCCATTCTGTCTATTCACAGCTAGAGTGACTTCCAAAAGAAGCCAAGTATCAATTTTCCTGATGGCTGAACATTAAGAATTATGAAGTGAAGTTATGAAACATGCCATTAAAGGACATTTCAGTCCCATAATTACACACAAGGACAGTAACTCAGAGACAGAGTATGCACCAAACAGCAAGCTATAGAAACTGTCAGTAAATCCCAGTGGAACATGAGCTACTTTCTTGTTTCTGTTTCCTATCACAGCAAACCTCCCAGGGATGCAGGAGCTACTGCTGTGTGACTAGTTTAGCACCCTCAACCCAGTACCAGTGCGCAAGGGCATTGGAAAAAAACAGGTCTGAATATTCAGTGAGTGTCACGTGTAATAAACAGTTAAGCTTTATGATTATTAAGAGGTTTGGTTTGCAGGAAGTAAAGTCATATAACACTTCAGCAATCCTGCTGCTTGGACAGATGATGTGTTGCTGCATTCGTTAGGGATTAACAAAAGGTACTGAAAAGTCCTTGTAGTGGCAGTACTAAGGCAGACCAACAGAAAATCCTTAAACCAGCCCCAACCTACTGTGTGGATACAGCTCGTGTGAAGGAACACAACCAAGAAGACATTAGTTGTGAGATCAGGTCCTTGTGGCTAACAAGGGAAGCCTCCATTACCCTCAGTGGGGAGGAGGTGTGGGGAGTATAACCTAGTTTTTTTGTGTACACAGAACTGACAGGGTCTGGATCAAGTCCCGTATTCTGCTCATGCAGACAGCAGATTGTAATTTCTCCCCCACTTCATGAGTTCATGCACAGAGTGTCTTTTCCACTGCTCCAAAATGTTTTCCAGCTCTTGCACACATCCTATGTTCTGCTGTTCATCAGCTGTGACACTGCTGGCCTAACCCTCACATGCATGTGCAGGCTTTACCCAGTTTACAGGCTGTTGTCCCCCTGCCCACTGAGTTCATGCCTGAGTGCTGGCCAAACTCTTGTGTTTCTCACATCCCTCTGGGAAGTCACGAGTAGCACAAGAGAAGAAACTGCAGAGCCATGTGATGGGGCAGGCTCTCAGAGCAGGCTGTCGCAGCATCGTGGCATGGAAGGCACTTCTGGCATGTTCCCAAAATCCTTACAACCAAAGGGTCCAATAGGTCATTGTTGTGCTGAGAGCACTGTTACTAGAGGTCTTAATTGCGACACTTCAAATGCACACAGTGCTATGTGCTCCTGAGCAGCACAAGAGATGTTTTCCTCTTCCTTTTCTGAGAACCTTTTTTTAGGGGCATGGCAGGAACCCAAGCTCACAGGAAGGTGGTGGAAGTCCTGCAGTGAAGAAAGGGCTCAGGGGCCTGGCTGTGGCTGTAAATATAACCAGAAAACTTAATTCCTACCTCTGTGTATTGCAGAGGGGAGCTTAGTGTTGTCTGGAAGTGAGATGAAACAGCATGTGCTAAGTTATTTTATTTCTGTAGCCCCTCTGGGTATCAGCCAGCACTTCCCAGCCAGCCCAGAAGAGCCTAGGAGGCCATACAAGTGTTCAGAAGCATCTCTGCAGAAGAGGTCTCTGATTACTGACTAGTTCTTTCCTTTACAGTGTTCAAAATGCTATTCAAGCCAGTTTCTGGATGTGTTTGAAGCTCATCACATGGCCGTGGACTCAGTCAGCTGGAATCCCTACCACTCGAAAGTCTTCATTTCCTGTAGCTCTGACTGGACAGTCAAGATCTGGGATCACACCATCAAGTACGTCCTGCTGGGTTCTGGCATGGTCAGGGAGGTCCAGCCTGACATGCCAGCCACCAGATACCAATTCTACTTATACCTCAGCTTCAGTTTACCTCTGAGGGGTTGATATTGCTAACTGCTCTCTTATTTCTGTTTTTGAGGCTTGTGACTCAGATTTGTACTCCTCAGGTATGAGATTTAGCATCATCTGCCACAGGAACTTGCCAAGCATTGCAGCTCAGTGCAGAGCCTGACTGCTTGCTTTGGACCTGGCTTTCTTCGGGCAGGACCTACTGTGGTGGGGATATTGTTCTGGAGAAATGCTATTGAGAAATGTCAGGGGCTGGCTTATGGCCTCACAGGCCAGACACCTCCTAAGAGTCAGAGAGAAAAAATAAAATAAAAATTGGAACATTTAAGAATACACAAGGAAGTTCAGGGTTAGTGGTTGAGCAATGTCTGGTTTCAATCAGAAAATTGATTTTTTTGCATATCAGAGTCAAATATTTCCTGTTGCCAATACTGCTCTAATATTCAGTGTTGTCAGAAGTCCAGAGAGGGAAAATCACTTTTTCCCATATGATTATTAACCAGAGAGACTCCATCTTTCTGTGTGTGTTGGGGGGAAGCTTTCAAAATGCTTTAGGAAGTAAAGAAGCACTTTTTCTTCTCATCACAGCAGGACCAATCCCAACCCATTTGATTTGATACTGTGCTTTGCTTTGTCTGTGGCTCAGATGATAGCTGTTATCTGACATAGAGGATATGTCTTGAACTTCTGCATCTGGTCTTGAACACAGGCTGCAGCATCAGTATTTATAACTCAGGTTTCACTTCCAGAGTGACATGTGTATAAAAGAGTTCATCCCTCTTTTTTTTTACAGGACTCCAATGTTTGTTTATGACCTGAATTCTGGTGTAGGAGATGTTGCATGGGCCCCTTACTCCTCTACGGTCTTTGCTGCAGTCACCACTGATAGCAAGGTGAGAGCCTGGAAGCAACACTGCTCTTATTTGAGCTGAGAGGAAGTCGGGGAATTAGGGTTGAGCATGGAGACATGTCAGCCCAGTCCTGGCCTGGCATGTCAAGGAGCTGCAGGTCTCCCATCAGCAGTTATCCACCACAGTGACAGGCTAAGTTGGCTGCAGCTTGCCTGAGCTGCTTGCCTCAGGATGGGAGGCTCATTTTGGTAGCTCAAGGCCCTAAAATTCCTTTTTGCTCAGTCTGATTACAAGGACACAGAAGTCATAAAGTAGTAACAGAGATGAAGAAACCTGGGCAGCAGCCTTTGGTACTCCTTCTCCCTTAAGGTCTACCACACCCCTACAAGCAACAAGGCCAGAAATCTCTCAGCTGCAGCCCAGTCATCCAAACAGCTGGTTTAAATCAGAGGGCTTTTAGCAGATGCTGAGGATCAGGGGCACATCTCTCTGCAAACCCATGACAAACCCATCAGAAATGCATATATGGGCCTTCTCTTCTAAGCACAGGTGCTTCTTGAGGGCTAAGCCTCCCAACCTTTAGTATAAGAAAGCTAAACCTGTCTGCAGCCATAGTTTGCTCCTCTTACTGCAGGAATGGAAGTACTCAGAGGATAAAGAGGAAAGCAAGGTTTGGGCAACAGGCTTCTTTTTCCTATGCTTTCCTGTCTTTGGTATGCATGTCCCCAGGCATGAGTTGCTAGCTCCTTCTCAGCGCTGCTCATGCTGCATTAAGGTAGGGGTTGCAAATGCATGAAAGTCCCTGCTTGCTCTTGTGTTGACCACATCAGTAAAGGTGTGCAGCTTCCACATGCCAGGAGAAAAAACAATTCCCAGTGTGGGAAATCAGCTTATTAACCAGTGAATCCCTGGGGATGGAGAGATGATGCTCCAGATCAGATCACCCCTAGTACAAGCTGACGTTAGGGTGTTGGTTTGGAACGTCTAAGGTATAGAGAAGCAGCAGAATAAAGAGGTTATATACTTACATTGATATTTAAAAGTCAATTGTAGTAATATACACTGGGTCAGCCAACAAAACTTTGTTCCAATTAAATAAAATCAACATTTTTCCACTGTGTGAGGCTGTGGTCAAAAGTAATGATTTCGTAATGAAATAATTAGACTAGTCCCAATATTAGGATGATGGCAGTTATATCTTTGCCCCTAGCCATTCATTTGAGTAGCTCAGATGGTTAATTTGGGCCTGGTGAGTAGCCGGGGGATGTAGCTATCCATCAACTCTGCTTTTGTACTTTAAGACCAAGTTGCTCTGTCTCCATGGTCTGAATGTTTTGCTGGTATAAACTGGAAAGTCTGTGCAGTTTGGTCAAATTACTCTAGCAAAAAGATGGTCTTTATATATCTCTATTATTGAACTGATGCCTTGGCAACTTTATTGCAGTTTAACCTTTATGTTATAGCAAAAAATTCATTTCACTGATACACTGGCTCAGGCTGTGAATTTGTTTCTCCCAAGTTAAACAATAGAAATCTTTTCACTGGGCACCTGGTCTCCCTGAGAAGCCACAGCCTACAGAAAGCAGTATTGATGCTTTTCCCTTGCAGGCAGGGTCACAATGAGGCCCTTTGTTCATGAATATGTCTGTCCCCATTCTCCCTTATATGAAATGAAAGGTCTGCATGAATTAAATTAATGCATTCATAATGTGACTCATCCTCTGATTGTTTTCCACAAGTGAAGTTGTGTGCATCCTCAAACCTGGTAAGGGTCATGCTGACCTTCACAGCTCTGAGTGATGGGGTGAGTGCTGCAGAGACCTGTGGGTATCCCATCTGTGTCCTGGTTCCTAACTTTGGGGAAAAGGAGAGAGATACTTTCAGGCAGTGATACATCTTGGGCAGCACAAGCAGATGGAGAATACTTGGATTCTTTACTGATGTGTTCAAGTTTCTGCAGTGATAGCTCTATGGAGGCTTCATGCTGCTCACTTGGGACAGATTTGTCAGAGCTTCACCTGCTGTAGAGAATCTCCTATGCAGTTAGCAAGAGTTTGTGCAATATGGTCCTTCCACCCCACCCCTGCGTCTCCTAGCCACTGCTGCAGTGATTCTAGTTGTGTGGCTGCAGAGTCACATCAGCTGCAGCATCCATGGGCCTGGAGTTTGTAAGAGGCTATAGATAAGACAGTCAGCTGTCTGGCTTTGGCAGCACTGCATCCAGGATATCTCACTTTGTCTATCCTACCTTTGATCTAATTCAGTAATCCTAATCTAGTAAAATCTAATTCTGATTTATGCTGGTAATCCCAAACTCTGAGAAGAGTGGTCATCAGCCAGGAGCAGCCCAGAAGTGGGCTGCTTAGCAGGAAAGGTTTAGGCAAGAGCTGCCTTCCCATTGCAAAAGGCTGGCCAGGTCTGATGCTGATAGAAATCCTGGGCCTTTGTGTTAGCCACTACCCATGATGGTTCCAGCAGGGTTTCTCTGAGCCATGGTTTAGGTTCTATTTTGAGCAGAACCTTCTAGATCTGCAGGGGAAGAGGAATGAGTAGTTGTTTACAGCCTTTTCGTTCCTGGATATATTATACTTTGTGGCACAGTGCACTTCTTGGGAATAGCTCAGCACCTCGCACAGGGTAGTCTCCATTAATGCTGGGAAAAGGTCTACATTAACAGGATATTAACAGGATATTCTAAGATTCTATGATACAGAAAACAACAGGACATGCAGCCAGAAAATAAAACATTAAAGACCTCCTGTTCATAAACAACCTCTAGCTTTGCATCCGCACATAATTATGCCTACAAAAGTTGAAGGTTGCCTGGAGGTGGTTTTAAATCAGACCCTAATTGCAGCCTTAAAGGGATACCTGGTGTATTTTTGAGAACACATTTCCTTATTCAAGCTGATGCTATGCATCCAAAAGGTGTATGTCAACCCCCTTGACTGTAAGACTGACTCGGAAATTGGAAATCTAAAATTCTCTCAATCCCCATGATTCCAGGAGTGAAGATTTAGGAAAATCTGTAAGTATCATGGGCATTATGATAAAACGTGTGTGTTGGCAGCTGGGCATCTGCTTCAGACAGCATCACCTCTTCATAAATAATCCAAGTATGCGTGTTCTGCTGCTAATGCATTGGATACTAACTGCTACTAGTGCTCTCTATTATGTTCTGGGTAATTTCCTTAGTCTCCTGCTCTGCCCGATGGCCATTTTGTTTCAGAATGAGCATAAATGATTTGCAATGAAAATTGAAATAAAATAAAATGATCACTGAAACATGTGCATGCATGCCAACAGTGCCTGGAAAAAAAACCTCCCAGTTCTCTAACTAGGTGTCTAAATAAGTGGCCTGTTTTAAAAGGACTGGACAGCCAGCTGCTTTTATGGAAGCTAGTCTCTGCTGGATGCACTCAGAGTGGTTGCTATAGAGCATTCAGCTTTGGTTTCAATCAGTGTGCTAGGTTCACTGCAGTTTTGCTCCGTGATTGCATTTCAGATGACGCTTACATTCCTTGAAGACTCCACAGTGGTTCCTAAAGCAGACAAGTGGAAAGATCTGTTATTTCTAAGCATGAGTCCTGCAGCTCATTTGGCTGGCAGCGGCTCTGTGGTCCCTTCAGGCCATTTCCTACAGAGACCTGGGTGCAGTTACTGATGTGATCAGCACTGAAACAAAATGCGGTAGAGAACACCTACTTTAGTTCATGTTGTAAAAGGTAAAAGCCTGACAGGAAGAAAAAGGTTAGCTTTGGAGAGAAAAAAAAAAAAAAAGAGAAAAAAAACAACCCCAAACATGTGGAGATGGATTTGGATACCTAGACTCTTAAACTTACAGTGCAGGAAATCTAGGGGATGCTGGTCAGAGAAGCGAGGAGGGGTGGAATTTAATCCCTGGGGCGTTTGGTAGGATTTGCCTTTGGGAGTTTGCTTTAATCCCATCTCAAACAGGCTTAAAACAGGAAAGAAAAAAAGAAACATGTAAAAGCAAGAATCATACTTGAAATTTCCTGCTTGGGCTTCTTTTACTTACTTTCCTTAATAAGGAAACGGTGCTGGCATTTCTTCCGCTTCTGGATCAGTCCACACATGTGGTTGCTTTCTTGTGCTGAATTCATGCACAGATTGTTACCTGTGTTTAAAAAGCTAAAGACACCCATGTCACAAGTGTCCCTGAATGGCTGGATCCCAGGCTGTGAGCCACAGCTGCCCCATGCAGTGGCTGTAATGGTGTGGTTGAGCCTGGAGAAGGAGCCCAGCAGCAGCCTGCCAGTGCCTACAAGGAGGTCATCAAGAAGTGGGAGCCAGGCTCTTCACAGTGGTGCATGAAGGAACAGTAAGACACAACAGCTCGGTTGGGTTGAAATGAGAGGTTTGGACTGGGTATTAGGGGAAACCTTCACTGTGAAGGGAGTCACGTAATGAAATAGGTTGCCCAGAGAGGTTGTGCCATCACTGTCCATGGAGGTTTTCAAGACCAGCTTGGATGGAGCCCTGAGCAACTGCATCTGACCTCAGATCTCACCCTTTGGCCAGGAGGTTTGAGTAGAGACTTCTTGGTGTCTCTTCCAACCTGAATTACCTTCTGACCCTATGACATTATGAAATGTCCTGTGTGAGAAGGGCGATCCCAGGGGTTTTACTACAGGCTTGCACTAAGTGCAAGTCCATTTTCTCTCATGTTTTTGTGGTCTGTGTCCTTCATGACTAATGCAGCAAGAGCAAGGTGATGTTATAGCCATCTTTAGTAAATATTGATAGCCTCAAGATAAATGCCATCCAAATGTGCACTATGCAGAGAAGGCCGCTTAGACATATGCTCTAGGGCTTTTCCCCATTACTGAAGCTCTTGACCTTTCAAGATGTGAAATACTTGAAACAACGTAAACCTTCAAGAAATTAGCTGATGGTTTGTGCTGCTCAGTAAGTGAGTGTGCCCTTTCCTGCTTATACACACATATTTTACTGAACAACTGTTCTGCATGAGAAGTCTTGAAGACCACGTTCCTGTTGTATCTCAGCATTGGATAAGATGCTGAATAAATGCCTGTTGTCTGGATACCCACTGTTTTCCTTTCTGCTCTTGGGAAAGAATCACACTGTTGTGTGTTTGTTCATAGAGCAATTTGCAGAGACTTGCTTGTAATTTAGCATTGACCGGCAGCACAATCCAGTTTCTTACTTTAAAAGCATGAATGATTTTGCAGATAAGAGGCTTGCTAAACCTTTCTGGTTTACAAATATTTCACTGGGTATTTTGGGGCTACTGCTGCCTCTCCTTGTAGGGCACGAATCAGAGGTGCCAGCAGACCTCCCAGCATCAGTCAATGCTTTTCCCCAGGGGAGTCAGGACTGTGAACCCCTCATGGCTACAGATGTCCCTGCTGCATTCAAGTCCTTCCTCCTACCCTTCTGCATTATCCCATGGGGTTTATCTAAGTTAGGGGTCCACAACAAGCTCTTCAGGGCTGGGATGAGGCATCTTGTGGCCCTCTGCACCGTGGCCTGGGCACTTGCTGGGGTGTAAAAACACCAAATGAGTGCAGGTCCCCTTGTCATCACCCAGAAGGACCTCTGAGTAGGCTGAAGTAGGCAGGGGCTTTCTTAAATTGGCTTTGAAACTGCATTCACAGCATAAGTGGTTGTTTCCGGTGAAACTGTTCATTTTCTTCTGCCACGAAACCTAAAAGGCTCTTTCTTTTTTCCTGCTGAATTTCTGAGATTGATGTGAACTGCTGGGCAAGCTTTTATGTCTGCTTTCAAACAAGGGCTGTTGGCATATCAAAGCTCAGTGAGGTAGGTGGTCAGAGACCCTGGAAGTAATGCTGCTTTCTTTGTGCCAGTCAGGCTATCCTTCCTTTCCCGCAGCCACCAGGCTGTTTGTGTACTACTTCTAGGGAATAAAGCTGGCCTGGAAGACTTTGGTATGCCCTGCAGGGTGTGAGCCCTCATCTCAGACCTGCTGCAGCTTCCATCCTATCCTAGGTTGCTCTGGTGGGCTCCAAGCCTCAAAATGTGCACCTCAGGATGCTGCTGCTCATTCACATCCCTCAGCTACTGAGCTGACGTGGGGTGAGGTCAGCACAGTAGTTGGTTTCAGTGCAAAGCCATACGTAAATGTAAACCCCTTTTGTCAGTGGTGTTGCAGGAATTGTTTCTTACAGAGATGCTCACAGGCCAGGTTTTCATCACAAGGGCTATTGCTTTTTCAGGTTATGAAATACAGCATTTTAACAAAACCCATCTGCTGAGATTAACTACTTCATTCAGCCACACAGGAGCCAAGTTTGCCTTTTCCTGCTTTCACACGTATATGAGTGGAAAAAATGATTTGGGTATTATCTCCAGATTTCATTGATTCACTTATTAGACTTTGCATGAAAACATACCAGGGGCACAGAGCCCATTAAGAGTATTTCTGAGAATAGAAAGCTGCTCCTAGGTGCTTCTTCACTCTTTGTTATGTTCCTCTATTAAGAATGGCCCTTCACTTAGGTTTCAGTTTGAAAGTGGGAACCATTTGTATTCGGACCACTGAGAGCCCTCAGCTATCTGCCCACCCTGCTGCACAGAGACAGCAGCTCCTGTACCTTGGTGTTTGTTGCTTGGCATTATATAATGACCTGAAATCTGTGCTGATTCATTTTAAATGCCAGTCTCCAAACCATTACAGTTCGATATCTGCTTTATGAACAGCTTCTCTGGCCTGCTGCAGGGCTACAGGTGCCAGAGAGCAGTGACTGATTCTCCCATGAAACCAATGCTGCCCTTGCTTGTGCAACTGCCTGCCTTCACCCATGCCCCAGCCTCTGTACGGGGTGAGTACAGAGGGTGCTGACTCGGTGTAGCAGGGCATAGCCATTCTAGGGAGAATAGCTTTAAGATGAAAGAGGGGAGATTTAGATTAAATATAAGGAAGAAATTCTTCCCTGTGAGGGTGCTGTTGCCCAGAGAAGCTGTGGCTGCCCCATCCCTGGCAGTGTTCAAGGCCAGGCTGGACAGGGCTTGGAGCAACCTGCTCTAGTGGAAGGTGTCCCTGCCCATGGGACAAATCAGTGAATGATCTGTTTGTAAGTACTGGTAGATCAAGGAACAGTCAGTCTAGTAAGGCTTTAGTAAGGTCATATAACAAAAACATTAATGATTTTGAGAGTAGCAAGCCTGGTCTATCAGAGGAGGGAGGTGTAATACATGTTTGCAGGTTGACCTCAGGAACACTGTTGGCACAAGCCCATAAGCAAACTATAAGGCAGGTGAGAAGGTAGATGTGACATGATGGAAGTCATCCTCAACAGAGTGTGCAGTGCAGCTATGGATGCTTTGGGTACTGAAGCTGGCACTGAAACTCAGCAGCAATTTGGTGTGTGGGGGGGACTAAGCAGGCAGGATTTACAAGTGCTTTGGTGCCAGAATTGAAATTGTAAATGAGGTTGATAACCTCAGCAGCAATTTGCAGTCAGTGAGATAAAATTCAATAAAGACACAAACCAAATGTGCAACATGAAATGATCACTAATTGGGACAGCAGCAGGACTGTGAGGGATGCTGGGCAAAGGGACTGCCTGTGCTGCTGTGTTCTTGCTAATGCTGTGCTGCTGAGTCTGACCCTGGAACATGCAGGGCAAAGCCACCCTATGGGCACAGCCAGGGCTCAGGCTGGAGTTTGGATGCTGGTCTCTAAGGAAGGGTCATCTCTGCTGCTGCAGAAATGGTTGCAGCACAGTGCAGAGGTACCAACTGCTTTCATCATCCTACCTGTTGCGTGATTTCAGCGCAGATTAGCTTTTCTGTTTGATTTTAACCTTTCAGAAGTGATTTGGAAGGTAACATTACATTTAGTACAAAAGCGAAGAGCAGAGGGAGGCTTTGTGATTCATTCCAAAGCACACTATTGAAGTTAAAGAGTCAAAAAGAATAAAAAAAGAGTCATGGACAACATAAAAGAATCATATTAGACCAAACTGAAGTGCAAGCAGCAGGGGTAGGATGCATCAGCTGTTTAGCACCAGATTATAGCATTCAGAAGTGAGCAAGACTGAGACTGAAGGAGATTATCCTAATCACTGAGACTCTCAGAGCAGAGCCAGGCTGACAGAATTGGTAACTGACAAGTTAGCTTGGATAAACAAGCACTTTCTTGTAGAACAATGTCACAGGGTTTCCATGAAGCGTCAAATGGTCCTCAGCCTGTCTGAATGAATAGCAGCTCTTCCAAGTGCAGAGGCTTTGATTTCTTACTGACTCGTGGGAGATGAGTCAAATCAGTTGAGGCTGAGGCTGTTTTCCTACCATGTCAAATTGGGAATGACCCAGTTCTTACTGAATGAGAAAGAGCAGGAATACGCAGCCCTGCAATGAAGCAGCTCCTACAGTTAAGTCAGGTGACACAGATGCTCTCTTTCCCTTGTGTCATGCACCCTGGAGCAGTGGGCTGGCATGATGCAGGGCAGAGGGATGTGCTCAGGCCCTCTCCCTTACCCTGGGACATACAGCCCACTCTTCACTGGCAAAGCTCACCTGCCTCAGCCCTAAAAGCATCTTTCACAGATGTGGGGTCATCCTTAGAATCATGGAATGGTTTGGGTTGGAAAGGACCTTAAAATTATCAATTTCCCTTGCCATGGGCAGGGATACCACACCTTAGACCATGTCACCCAAGGCTCTGTCCATCCTGGCCTTGAACACTGCCAGGGGTGGATCATTCACCAGTTCTTTGGGCAGCCTGTTCCAGTGCCTCACCACCCTCACAGTAAAGAACTTCTTCCTTATATCCAATCTAAACTTCCCCTGTTTAAGTTTGAACCCATCACCCCTTGTCCTATCACTACAGTCCCTAATGAAGAGTCTCTCCCCAGCACCCTTTTAGGCCCCCTTCAGATATTGGAAGGCTGCCATACCTCTGAACATACTGTAACAGAGCTGGGGTCTGTCCTTTTGCCGTTAGCATGAAAGTGCTGTGAAACCCCATGAATTTTGGGGTCTGCCTAGTGCTGGTGTCAGGGCCACCAAGGACCAGCATTCCTGTGTCATCACAGAAGCAGGGAGGCAATGACTGTTTTCTGAGTCAGGTCTCCTTTCCTCCTGCCAAGCCCCAGGCTTCAGAGGAGACCAAGGGCTGTCTTACAACCCTTATTTGTAACTCAAAAATATCCTTGCAGAGCAAATTAACTGTATTTGAGGCTGTTCTGCCTGCAGTGGGACTATAGAAATCATGCAAAGTAAGGTCTCCACTGCATGGCAGCTTGGCTTTGATGTAAGCTGGGGTTCCCCTGCCTCCCCACTGTCTTTAGGATGCTCCAGCAGCTGACGTGGTGCTAGACAGAGGCTGCCTGTTACATACATTAGCTGAGAGTTTGAAACAAGTCATCTGTGGAGTTTGCAACTGGATGAGGTATCATGGTTCAGTCAAGAAAATTAGGTAAATCCATCATGAAGACAGTGAGAGCCAAGCAGTGAAAGAGATGTCAAACTGGTAAAGGGCAGCATTATATTAAATTATCCCTCACCTTTTTGCTCTTACACCAACTTTGTTCTTTGTTGCCAAGTTACCAGGTACATCTTCCTTGTTCTTACCACATATATATTTCGCCTCAGCCTTGATTCTGGTTTCTGTCAGGTTGGTTTTGAACATGACAGCGTTGCCCAGATCGCTGCTGGGGAATAAAGGCTTGCAAGCCTGGAAGAATAGGACAGTGTAGGCTGCAGCCACTGCAGGCCCAGCATTTGTTCAAGGCATGCAATAAAGGCAGGGGAGGACAAAGTAGCTCTAGAGCTCCCTTCTTCATGGGCCACAAAACCCAAGTAGCTTGTTCTGCTGGCAGAGAGGTTGGTTTCTTTCAGGTGGTGCCCTTTGGAGGGTCCAGCTCTCCACCAGATCTTCTGGTGCTCACAAGGCTTATGTGCTTTAGGGCAGTGGGTGACAGCAGAACATAAGGACAGGGGGGTCCAGGTGACCTCAGAGCTGTTGAGCAGATGGGAGTCTGGGCTGACTTTCA